TTGCACGGGGAGAGCTGTGCAACACAGAGAAGACAAGTAGTGATTCTACAGCATCTTACTATGCTGATGGACAGTGACTGTAATGGGGTTTGTGGGGAGGACTTGGTGATGGGGGGAGTCTAGTAAGCATAATGTTCCTCATGTAACAGTAGATTAATTATACCAAAAAAAGTTTATTCCTAAGTGTTTTATTCTTTTTGATAGTATTGTAAATGGAATTGTTTTCTTAATTTTATTTACAGCTTGTTGATTGTATTCTAGTATATAGAAATGCAATTGGTTTTTGTATATTTGTCTTATATCCTGCAAACTTGCTAAACTCATCTATTCCAGTAGTTTCTCTCCACCCTCCTTGGGATTTTCTATATACAAGATGATGGCATCTGTGAATAGAGACAATTTTACTTCTTCCTTTTCAATCTGGATGACTTTTACTTCTTTTCTTGATTAATTTTCCTGGTCAAAACCTCAAGTACAGTGCTTAATAGCAGTGGTAAGAGCAGATACCCTTTTCCTGTTCCTGACCTTAAGGAGGGAGCATCAGTCTTTTACCATTAAGTATAATGTTAACTGTGGGTTTTCATAGATGGCCTTTATCAGGTTGAGAAAGTTCCCTCTATGCCTAGTTGGTTTAGTATTTTCATTATGAAAAGTTGCTTGATCTTGTCAAGTGCTTTTTCTGTATCTGTTGGAATGAGGATGTGATTTTGTTATATTCTATTAATATGGCAAATTACATTGGTGATTTTCATATGTTAAACTAATCTTGCATTCTTGGGATAAATCTCACTTTGTCATGTGTATAATCTCTTTATATGTTTATTCGGTGTGCTACTATTTTATTGAGCATTTTTGCATCTATATTCATAAGGGATATTGGTCTGTAGTTTTTGTTCTTATATGTCTTTGGTTTCAAGATGAGACTGGCCTCATTAAATGAGTTAGAAAGTGTTCCCTTCTCTTCTGTTTTTTGGAAGAGTTCATAAAGAACTGGTGTTAATTCTTCCTTCTTTGCTTTGAGTTTAACTTGCTCTTCTTTTTCTAGCTCCTTAAGGTAGAATGTTATACTATTGATTTAAGATTGTTCTTCTTTTTTAATATAGGCACCTGCAGCTACAAATTTTCTTCCTGCTTTAGATGCATCCCATAAGTTTTGGTATATTGTGTGTTCTCATTTTCATTCATCTCAAGTATTTTCTAAAACTTAATTTTAATAATATATTTTATTTAACCAATATATCAAAACTATTATTTCAATAGGTTATCAATATATATTTCCCATTCACTTTTTATATAGTCTTTGAAATCCATTATGTATCTAATATTTATAGCACATCTCAAGTCAGATACTAAATTTTCACCAGAAATATTTTAGCTGTATTTAGATTTCATGAATTATTTGTGTTTAGATTTTATGAAATTCATAGTTGAAAAGTAAATTCATATATTGAAGTTGTTCCAAAATACTTAAAAGTTTACTAATAACTGAATAGAGTGTCAGTTTTTAAATTTAAATCAATGTAAGTTAATAAAATATGAAATTCAATTTCTCAGTCACACTAGCCACACTTAAAGTGCTGAACAGCCACACTGGTCAGTGACTACTATATTACACAGTGCAGCTCTGGGGCTTTATCCATACAATGTCCCTAGGACGTAGGTATTATTATTTCCCATTTTGCAATTGACGAGCTTATGTAAGATCAATCAGTAAGATCAAAGAACTTATGCAAGATCTCATGGCTGGGAGGGAGCTGAACCAACACAAGCCCTTCTCCTGGCTGGGAAATGGACCTTTGTAATTATTGCTTCTGGCTGCAGAGACACAGGGATTGCGGCAAAGGCTTTTCCTTGACCCAGAACCACAGAGCAGAATCCTGAGCTTCCACTAACTTCCCAATCAACAGAATAGCTGACTTAGAAGCCCTGGAATTAGCTCTAGTGAGCAGGGGACACTAAGGTCAATTCCCCACCATCCCCACTATTTTTCTAAGTACTCCAACCTTACAGTCTGATGTCAGTCTGAAGATGGTCAATGTGCAAGGAGCAATGTGCACCCACACAGGTCCAGCCAACCCACTTCCCATCTTCTGTGAGAAGCCACTGAAATTCCTGAAAGGGGTTGTAAAGAAATGCCCATCTGTTGGCCCAGCTGAGTGGGAAATCACAGAAATGTCCACCATGTATCAAGTGCTTCCTACCAGCCAGGCACTGCACCCAGTGCATGATACTCCTAGATCAATCCTAGTAGACAAAAGAAAGTGTAATGCATTATTTCAGTGAAATATGACATGGCACTTAAAGACATTTGTAGAAAAGATGTCTACAAATGCTATTAACTAAAAACGGCAAGTTTTAAAACAGGACAGAGTACAATCCCCTTTGTGTGTGTTTGTGTATCATACCAAATTGTTAATAGAGAAAACCTCTCAGCATAGAGATGGGGGAAAGAACTTTCACTGTGTATTTTATACATTTCTATATATTATACATGCCTGTATTTGTCACTACAGCATAAGTTCCTATTTTAATTTTTAAAAATGAATCTTAAAGATATCCTTAAATAAAAGAAGGTCATTGTATCATTTAATCTTCAAGTAACACTTAAACAGGTATAATTATCCACATTTTACAGATGGAAGAACTGAGGCTCAGAGAGGATCATGTCTTGCCCAAGACTTCAGAACTAGGAAATAGCAGAGAGCCAGGAGTGGCATCCACGATTGTTTATGACAGAGCTTTTGAGGATGAAAGAGCAGCAGAGGCTCAGAAAGCCTGGGCCTACCCACCAAAAGTCCAGGAGGAGCCTGACCTTGAGATCCAGGTGCAGGATGTAATGCTGATGGAGGTAATGCACACCCTCGCAGATCTGCTTGGTGAACAAGACTACATCCAGTTCCGTTAGGTGGTACTTCTCATCTGTGATCCGGTCAAAGAGTTCACCCCCATCCACACTGCCAGGGCAAAGGGAGAGGCAGGCACTGGTCTAAGTGAGGCTTTCAGAGGATTTGGCCACACTTATCATCAGCAGCCAAAAAAAGGCTAAGTCAGATCAACCTAAGGGTGTCATTACCGTCTAGGGTTAATGGGGACCTTTGCTCTGGCCCTGTTCCAGCTCAGAGTGCAGTGGTAAAAAGGAAGTAGTGGACCAAGGGAAGACTGAATTGTCTTCAGTGTTGATAATACAGGCTCACTGTGGATATTCTAGGCCAAAGTTGTAAATTTGTTTGCCTGCAGGGACCATCTAGTACCTACATGACAAGAACTCCAAATGGGCAAATCAGACCAGATGTGAGACAAAGGTTTTCTTAAAATACACAATATTTTTTGAATTTTGTTTTTCCAATTTTTATAGTGACATGCCATGACAAAATGTTTCACTCTCCTCAATTCTACCAGCAGGCAAGTAGCAAGACAAGCCCCCAAATACATGGCCTCCTAGTCCTTGGCCTCAGTTTCAGGGGTTAGTTGGGAGTGGTGGCAAATGGAAGACTAATTGGCCTGTCTACAAAGGTGAGCTGGTATACCACTTCCAGCTGGAAATGCAGGCCCAGCATTACTAGATCTTTTAAATTTTCAAGAAAAGCCAGAAATCTAGGTTTTAATGTGGAATCTCCAAATTTTCACCTGTTAACTAAATCAAAATTATTAAAAGTTGTATAGGCCACATCAACATACAACTGCAGATCAAATCAAGCTCACTGGCCACTGGTTTGTGACAAATGGCATTGTCCTCCATGCTCCATGTTGGAGATCAAGCAGAGGAGGTGATGACATTCTCTGGATGTCCCCAAGAAGGGAAGGGGACAGGGAGAGCTTTGCCTAGAACCATGGCCCCAAGCCTTAGCCCTGAGCCTGGCCTGTGGAGGAGCCACTGTCCCACCTCTCAAGACACTCACTACTCCATGACAAGGGTAAAGCTGTTCTTGCTCTCGAAGGCATCATAGAGCTGGATCAGATTCACATGGCTGAGCTGGTTCATGATATTGATCTCGTTCTTCACATCCTCCTTGCAGAGCCAGGGGGAGGGGAGTTTCCAAGAAATGTGTCAGGAAGAGGAGGCAGCCGTGCCTCCCAAGACACACACATGTATGCACATGCACACCCATCCCACATCCTTGTTTCCTGCTTTCACACCAGGTCTCTTACCACCCAAACCTTACAACAGAAGGGACCATAGTATGACCCACCCATTTCAGAGACAGGAAATCTGAGGCTCACTAAGAAAACCTGGAATCCAGGAGCCCCTGTTGCTGACTGGAGTGTGGGAGTCATGGGAAAGAGGCAGGGAAGGCAACCAGGTTTCCTGCTCAGTATGGGGCCCGGGGCAGATGAGAAGGAAGTGAAGGAGTCCTGAGCTTAGCCAGGGGCACTGGCTGGCTCAGGACAGACGCCTCACCCGGTCCTTGGCATTCTTCACTTTGATAATCTTGGCTGCCAGCAAGAGGCCTGTTGACCTTTCTGTGCACCTATGGACCTGGCCAAACCGGCCCCTGCAGAGACACAATGACACAGCAGGCTGAGAACCTAAGAGGCTCACCACACACATGGGCAGCCATCCTGTACCCTGCACTCTCTGATCCTAGCCCTCCTCCACACACACCACAGGATTATCCTGCACCCCAGAGGTACCATAGTCATCACTCCCACACCACCTAGGCTGCCCTGCACTCCAGGAGGCATCCCCCTCACCTGCTCTGTCCTGAAACCTAGAGAAGAACTCTTCACCTGTACCAAGTGGTCTATCCTACACAGGGGACATCCTCCAACCCCACACCGCCCAGCTGCCCTGTGCCTCAGGGGCCATCCCTCTTATCTGTCCCATCAGCCCTCCCAGCACCTCCAGTAGAGAGCCCCTGTGCCCACACTGTGTAGGCGCTCTTCACTCTGCACTTCAGCTCCTTCACCCCATGTGGCTCTCCTACACAACAGGGGACATTCTCTGCACTCCCCTCTGTGGACTATCCCCTTTCACATGCTGCTCCACTCTCGGCCTTGTTCAACTAAGCAGTTCCTGAGAATCACCCAGCACCCTGATGCTCCAGGTGTTTCTGCCCCACCTCCTACCCCTCCCTTGCCCCCATCAAGGCAGAAGACCCACCTACCCTCCCAGTACTTCATGCTGGCACACTGTGTAACCCGCTGAGGTCGAGGTCTCCTTGACACTCACCACCCGGTGCTCAAAAGGGGCTGGTGGGGCTGGACTGTCATCTGTTCAGAAGACAACAGTCTGTGAGCTTCCTACATGCAGCCCACACCTGTCCACACCCATCTCAGACCCACTTGGTTCAAAGGACAAACCCTTTGTCCTTCTCAAGAATCAACATTGGAGCTTCCCATTTGGCAGAGGAAGAAGCTGAGTCTCAGGGACGTAAGGTGACCATTCCAATGTCACAGTCAGTGACAGATGGGATTCAAACCTGGGTCCTTCAGCACCTACAACAGTGCTCTTCACAAGATGGAGAAGTTACGTCCAGTCTGCTCATTGCAGTAGAGAAGAGGTCCACGTTGGGTCAGTACAGCCCACAGGAAACAGAAGGCACATTTGAATGGGGTAATCGAGCACAGTTTAATGACAGGATTGTGTTTACAGGTACAAGCAAGGCTATGGAAACCAGCAAGGGTGGTATGACAGCTGGAGAAACACCCACCCTCCCTCTTCTTTCCCCTGTGGGTCTCCTGACAAGGCAAGGGAGGCCATGATAGAGGGTCAGCTCCCAGGGCCAGGGTCGGGGGGATGGCGGGTCTTGGGGTAAATAGAAGACTTGGAAAGATAAAAGCAGTCTATGATTTTTAAAAGAATATTGTCCTGTAGACATAAAGTAAATCTAGAAATGTCACATGATAAAGGAATAAAAGCAAATCCAGAATGCATACCAAACACAATGATATAAACCAGTTTGCACAGTTAAGGGCTAGAAGACCCTTGGAGGGAAGTCTGTGGCTTAGGTTGACATTTGTTCTGGGCTTGTTGTGGGAGCAGTCAGAGTTTTCCACTGACAATTCTAATACCTCTGAAACCATATACTGGGTGCAATGGAAATACTGCTATTTTCTCTTAATTTGTCCTAATACATGCAACAGTTTGCTCCCTAAAGTAGAAAGTTGAATTTGCGTTTGAGAGCATATTGCTCATCCTTTTTTGTATCTGCAAAGGTAAGCCCTGAGCCCTAGACTGCAAGGGGTAACATTTGTGGGTTTCTGTCACTGTTATTTTACTGGACCCCTAGAAAGGCCAGGAGAGCATGGAACCTTGGTGTGTGTCACAGAGTCCCAGTCTAGAATTTTGCTCAGAAGTTTCCTTTGCTGCACAGAAATGCCTTCTGTTCTGAGAGGCTGCAGAGCCATAAGGTTTACACAAAAGGTTCTCGAGCCAGACAGTCAAGTTCAGATCCCAGCTCTGCCAGCACTGACTCTCTGGCTTTGCGTGTGCTTCCAAACCTGTCTTGTGTTCTCTTGTATCCTCATTCCACAGGCTTGTGAGGATAAATACTGGCACAAATGCATGTGGCTCAGCATACAGTGAGCTCACAGTTAACCTTGGCTTTATCACCATCCCAAGTCTCAGAGAAGACTCTGAAGTCAGTCCTGTTTTCAGCTGTGTTTCAGGAATTAAGGGAGGCCTGTGTCGCACAAGGGGAGAGGAAGCAGCTGAAGAAGTCAGTGTGACTGGGCAACTGAGAGCTGAGATGTGCAGAACACAAAGCCTTCCTCAGGGACTTCTGGAACTTCCAGGGCAGGGAATCAGCAAAGGGTGGTCTTCCTGTAGTCATGGGATGAGGGTTTGGACCAAGGAGGGTATGACCCTAACAGCAGGAGAAGTTGAGGGTCTTCGGGTCACCGAAACACAAGGATACCTCCTACCACCACTGGGACAGAAAGCAGGTCAGCAGCCTCACCATGCCCTTCCCTATCCCAGGATGAGTAGTCAACTCACTGGATGAAAATGGCTGATAATGGATCTACCAGTTAATGGGTTTGTTTTAACAGATTTCTCTATCTCCATCCAGAATGATACCAATGGGTAGAAAGCTCAGGCAGCCAGGTGGCTCTGAGAAATTGGCCTAGTTGAGCCACAGGCTGTTCTGTCTTCAACTCATCTCCCTGGAAGCTGCAGGGAGGCCCGTGGAAATACCCTTCCAAACCCACTCACCTTTGGGGGCACAGCAATGGCCTCACTTACCCAGAACCAGGCGACCAGCCTCAGCTCTCAGGGGCATCTTCCTTCCTGCTTCCACTCTGCCCATGTCTCCAGCTGTGCAGTCCTTCCCCACCTCAGGGATTCCTGCTCCTGGGCCTTTGTCCTGCTGCAGGCCTGGAGCCCCAGCATTGTCTCCCTTGGCCCACCTGGCCCCACTCGGTCCCATGGTAGGCTTGGTGCCAGGCTCCTGCTTTTTCTCGGCCTTTGCTCCCCCATCACTGCTCCACTTCCACAGGGGGGAAAACTCACTGGCTCCTTTCGGGGTCTCTTTTCCTGACTCAGTCCCAGGGGCCTGAGACTCAGGTGGTTCCTGCTCACCTGGATGGGCAGCTGCTGGAGCCTCCACAGCAGGTGTGTGTCTGAGGCTGCCCCTTCGTGTCACAAGTAGCTCCCCAGGGGTATCCGTCTCTTGCACATGGATAGAGATCCTGGGGCAGAGAGAAATATGGCAAAGCAAGGACTCTAGAGTCAGAACAGACCTGGGTTCAAAATGCCGGCTGCTTCCACTCACTGATTGTGGCCCCTTGGCCCCAGTTTCCTCATCTGTTAATAGTAAGTGTTAGCTTAGGGTTGGAACCAGCAGACTCCAACCCCAGCTGCTCTGGATCCCTGACCACTGTTGCTTAGACAGGACAGCAGGGGAGATGCTGGCTTCAGGGACAGACAGTGCTATCAGCTCTCAGGATTCCTCAGGATGAGTGTCCAGGAAAGGCTTGAAGCAAACTGGTGGATAGGGGTGGGCACCAGATCCCTCTGAGGCCCTTGGAAACCTGCTTCGGCCCAGCAGTATTGTAGCCTAGAGGCAGGAGACATGACCGCAATACTCCCACCCTTTTCTGGGCCTCAGTTTCCCTTTCAGTTAAATGGAGAAGGGAGAGCCAGGTCAAACATCACCCTATTGTTTTTTAAATACAGGTCAGACACATTTTATTAAAATCAGGCAATTGCTCATAGAGTCTGGACTATGTGTTTCTCTTGAACACAGAGGCTGTGCTGGGCCTACATACCTGTATGGCTAAGGAATAGCTCTCCACTTCCCCACAAGCCCCACTGTACCCTGGCAATGCCACTGGGCCCACTTTGTCCATTTTTCTTACCCAGACCCTGCAGCACTGGGGTTTGGGACCCCAGCTAGAAGTCAGGAAGGCCCTCTGAGTCCCTATGTTGAGAGGGAAGGACCCTCACCCTGGTGCCATGACCCCAAGTATAGACCCTCCCTCTTAGAGTTGCCCCCACCCTGACTACTCTTCACAATCCTACTGCCAGGGTCTATGTGTGTAGGGGTGGGGGTGCAGGTGTGAGTGTCAGGTGTAGACTGATGCTCAAGCAGGAGTCAGACAGCCTCCATTTTGGTCTTAGCTCTGAACTGGTCTGCTGGATGACCTTGGGCTTGTCCAGCTCAGCTCCCTCTGTCAAACAGGGATGATAATACTTCAGAGACGTGCTAATAGTCAATGAAGAGAGGAAGCACAAACACAGGAGGGCTCCAAAAGTTAAGGCCTAGAATGGTATAGCAGCTATGGAAAACAGTATGCAGTTCCTCAAAAATGTAAAGATGGAACTACTGTATGATCCTGCAATCTCACTTCTAAGACTATATCTGAAAGAATTGAATGCAAAATCTCAAAGATATCTATCTTCATAGCAACATTTTTCACAATAGCCAAATGTGAAAGCAACCTACGTGTCCATCAACAGATGAACAAAATGAGGCCTAGCCATATAGTGGAATATTATTCAGCCCTGTAAAGGAAGAAAATCCTACCACATGCTACTACCTAGATGAACCTCAAGGATATTGTGCTAAGTGAAATAAGCTGGTCACAGAAGACTGATTCCACTTACATGAGGCACTAAGAGTTGTCATATTCATAGAGACAGAAAGTGGAATGATGGTTGCCAGAGTCTGGGGGAGGGGGAAATGGGAATCCTCTGATGATTACAGAGTTTTAGATTTTCAAGGTGAAAACATTCTGGAGATCTATGTCACACACATGAATATACTTAACACCACTGAACACATTTAAAAAGCATGCTTTTTACAATTAAAAAGTGAGGCCTTTCCCCAGCAGCTGAAAGCCCAGCTCCATTCTCTAAGCTGCTGTGAGTCCTCTGGGAGCAAGGCCTCTTCTTTAATGCAGTAGAAGCAGCAGCCTGTGGGCAGGAGGCAACAGTATGCCCCCAACACAGTGCCCCCTGGGAGTGAGTATGGGTTGGTGATGACATGGTAGGATGGGAAGGGTGGCATCTAAGCCTAGTTCAGGCCCTGTTTCAATAGAGGGACACGAAAAACTTCTGGAAGCCAGTTGCTAGAAGAGTATCCAGATAGTCAAGTGACCAGCTGAGAAGGTCAGTAGTCACCACTGTCCCCTTTGGTCTTCATTCCAAGGGACACAGAATGACCCAATGCACTGCCATGCATTCCCATGCTACTCTGAGTGTCCTAGGCTTTCCCTCCTGCACAGCACAGCCAGGGCAGGCATCGATCACAGCACTCTGTCCCACCAAGTGCCTCAGGATCTTCTGTACAGGTAGCTATTGCCAACCAGAGCCACAGCTTGAGTTCAAACCTATTTTCCTCAAAATATACCCATGAGGAGGGGCAGGTAGAGGTCTCTCCCCTTCCTGAGCCCTGTGGCAGTCTAGTGTCCCTAAAATTCAGCTCATAAACACCTTTCCCTCACCAGAATCCTTTTGGAGCCCCTAACAGGCTCATGGCAAGTTTACCCTGGTCCCCAGATTCCACATTCATAGCCCTGAAGGGCATCCAGGAATGCCTGCCAAGAATCCCTCCCTTTGGCTGGTTAGGTCTCCCAGGAGCTCCATTCCCTTCCAGAACAAAGGCTGGCAAACACAGGGCTTCTCAGCCCACACACACAGATACCAGCTCCCCTCCTGAGCCCAGCCTCAGCCTCAGGCCTCCGTTACAGGTCAGGACAGCCCTGGGCAGTGGCAGGAGAGTACCAGGTCCTTTTGAGAGAAGCCAGGAAAGCACAATACCCTCCAGTGGGTGTCCCTGGGGGCTGCAGGGCTGGCAATTACAGGGCTCAGGAGGGCTTGGCAGTCGGTCGCTAAACTCTTCATTCTGTGCTGTTTGCTGAGGGCTGGTCCTCAGGCTGCCACCTCCAGGGCACCAAGCATAATTCTTCAGAAAGTTCCATGGACTGACCCACACTCCACCCACCTCCCACTTTTGAGTACTCATCCTTCTCTCCCTGCCCTGGGCAGTGGCAGGAGAGTACCAGGTCCTTTTGAGAGAAGCCAGGAAAGCACAATACCCTCCAGTGGGTGTCCCTGGGGGCTGCAGGGCTGGCAATTACAGGGCTCAGGAGGGCTTGGCAGTCGGTCGCTAAACTCTTCATTCTGTGCTGTTTGCTGAGGGCTGGTCCTCAGGCTGCCACCTCCAGGGCACCAAGCATAATTCTTCAGAAAGTTCCATGGACTGACCCACACTCCACCCACCTCCCACTTTTGAGTACTCATCCTTCTCTCCCTACCAGAGTGGTGAGGACTTAATCAAATGCTGACCAGAGGAAGGTATGGTGGTTAAGGACACAGTTTCTGGAGTCCAAAAACTCTGTAAATCCCAAGCTGTGTGGCCCTGGGTACTCGAAGCCCATTTCCTCATCAATAAAATGAGGATGCTAACCACACTCATGCCCAATGATGTTGTGAGAATATAATGAGATGATGCTAATTCTTGGCACCTGGAAAGTGTTCAGTGAACCCCATCTTTTAGCTATTATTATTTCTCTAAGAACTAGAGATTCTCAGCCCTGTTCCACATTGAAATCACCTAAGGAGCTTGTTAAAAAATAGGTAGATAGATTAGATAGATAGATGATAGATAGATGGATGGGTGGAAGGATGGATGGATGATGGATGGATGGATGGACGGACAGATTAGATAGATAGATAGATAGGTAGATAGATTAGATAGATAGATAGATAGATAGATAGATAGATAGATAGATAGATAGATAGATAGATAGATAGATAGAATGATAGATGTAATGTATCTCAATGCCTGTGCCTCACTCCAGACTGAATAAATCAGATCTCTGGGAATTGTTATTTTAAAAATTCCTTCCAGGTAATTCTAACAAGCACCAGGTGAGAACCAGTACTCTGAGTTCCTGAATGCACAGCCTAGGCCTTCTCCTGCCTTCCCCTTGTGAGGTTACCCAGCAATGTGCAGAGAGCGGACACTCAACCCGAGCAGCTGGTCCCTTGACCGTGTTCCAGCTGAGGGACTACAGTTAATCCTTTCCTTGCCCAGCCTGAAGGAGTACCCCTTACCTTGGAGGTGTTTCTCCACCACTGTGAGCTGCCTTGGTCTGGGCTGGTGGCCCTGGAGTCAGCCTCATGCACTCCTCCTCCAAGGGCTGAGCGTCATGTCTGCTGGATGATGCTCCCTGTCCCATACCTGGCGCAGCCTCCTGGCTGCTGGAGGCCTCACTGACCCTGCTGGGTGCTGCAGACAATTCCCGGCCAGTTCCAGGGTTTTCACTGGATGTCCTAGGAACTTTGGCTTCTGCCTCTGTGGGCAGCAGCAGGTGGCCAGGGGGCACCTGGGTTGGGAGGGGACCTCTGTCTCCCTGTCCTGCTAAGGCCTCTGCCTGAGTGAGCAGGTCAGATCCTATCCCTGAAGCATCGATGTGGGGCAGCCTCTCCACTGTCCCCTCTGGCAGGTCCACCTTCTGGTTTTCTATAGAAAAATAGGCAGGGTAGAAATGGACTCCCATTTAGAGGAATCTATCCCAAAGACATTATAAAGAATGCAGACAGCCATTCAGTGAGCATATTCATAATAGGCAGACTGGAAACAACCCAACTGACCATCAGTAAGGGCTGGTTGATTAAACCAAGATACATCATACAAGGAGTGCTGCACAGCCAAAAAAAGGAGAAATGAGTATCTCCATGTGCAGCTATGAGTAACCTCAGGATATACTCTAAGTAAAAAAAAGCAAGGTGGAGAAAAATGTATATGGTATGTTTCTGTTTATGTGTGTGTATGTGTGAGTGCATGCACATGCATGTGTTTAATCACTTAAAATGTGGTCTAAAGAGACTGGACCTCAAAGAAAAGGTAAGACAAAAACTTTCTCAAGTGGTTCCATATGCTGGGGAGGAAACAGGGTGCAGGAAACAAGGATAGAAGCTAGAGTTCTCTTAATATACCTTGTTTTGTCAATCTGACTTTGGAACCATGTAAATATTATGCAAAAAAATTATAAAAAAGTATAAAAGAAAATTAAACTTAAAAAGAGAATCATAAAAATGTAAAACAAAGTGAAATAAACCTGAGTATCAAGCTAGTGACATAGCTTACACAGAAAAGAACTATTCCAGTGACTTTAAAAGTAGCAACACATAGTTATATATATAATATATATATAGGACAAAAAGAACTGCCAAAAAAAAAAAAGCAGAAGCTTCACCAGTTTTTCAGTAATCACATTGTTGTTGGTGGTGGTATTTTTATTGTGGGAGTGCATTGGGTGCCCTGTGGAATAAAGCAAATGGGGCCCCACCTACCTGCCCGCAGCCCCTTGACCCCAGCTTGCGCCGCTCTGGTGCTCAGGGTGTGCTTTGGTTTTGCTCCATTCTCCTCGGCTCGCTCTTTGTTCTAAAAGAACAACCATAACTATCATCATCATCAACATCATCATTCAGGCCACAGACATTTGGTGAGCCCCTACCATGTGCTTAAGACATAATTACCTAGGCTACTTCACATGGTCTCACAGTGATATGAAAAGGTGGACATTGCTATTGTCATTTTAGATATAAGAACCTTGAAGGCTTCTCAAAGTCACCAAATCCTTTCTAATGTGTCACCATACTGCCCGTAAGGGGCAGACTCAGCCCCTGATAGAAGGGTCTAGTTTACCTGGACCTCCAAGTACTTGGACCAGGGATGAAAAGAAGATTTAATCTTGAAGTGTCAATTCAGATCAGTCAGTTACGGCAATTGCAGTATTGGCTTGGTTTGAATCCATGTCAGGGATTGGGTTGGGGGGGAATAGGTGGACGGGGTAAGGCATCCCATGATCAATTAATAATGTCTGCCTGGGAACTGGCTGGGTGGAGCCCATGGTTACCCCTTGACAGTACAGTAGTGTGGCCAGGAGCATGGCCTCTCAGACCCTTGCGCCAGACTTGCTCAAAGTTTAAACCCCACCTTTACCACTTGTCCAAGATCCTTTATTTCTCTGTATCTCACTTTCCTCATCTGTGAAACAGAAAGAATATTATCTGCCTCATAGGGTTAGTGGGAGGATCAGGGGAGTTAATTTGTGGAATATCCTGAGAAATGTGCCCGGCATGATAAATGTTTGGTATCTCTGGTGATTTTGTCCTGCCTGAGACAGAGCTGTCTGTGCTCAATGAGCTGATCATGTAAGGAGGCTCAAAGCCCAGCCCAGAGAAACTCTCAGCAGCTCTTTCTTAATTCTGAATGCTCCATGCCACACCAGTGCATGTGCTTACTCCTGGAACAGTCTAGCCACTTGGGATTTCTAAGTGCAAATCTGTCTAGATGGCTTTACCCCTTGCTGGGTCCCCCGGGCACTTCTAGAGGTTTTGAGACTTTGGCTGGTGCAGCCCCTAAGACTCCTCCTGGCACCTGTCACAGCAGCAGGTATCATAGCCCTGAGCCTGGCTGAGCCCCGGGCCCATGGCACTCACCTCTGAAGGCCCTTTCTCTTGCCTTGCCCATAGAGGCCTCAGTTGGGAGCCCACTGCCCAAAACAGCTTGAGACACACTTTGTTTGGCTTACATTTTAAAAATTTTAATTTGTTATCAACATTTTAAATCTAGAAGATTTTTACATTAAAATTCTAAGTTCCCTTTTGGGGTGATAGAATTGTTCTAGCTTCTGATTGTGTTGGTGTGAGTGTATATATCTATATACTTAAAATGTATGTATTTTGTGTGTGTATGTGCAATTTACTGTATGTAAATTACACCTTAATAAAATTGATTAGAAAAAACTCCAGGTTCCCAGCTTTTCTTAAATCTGAAAATCTGGTAATTCCAGGCCCACCTGGCAAAATTAGGCTGGAGCAGTTCCTTCCTTCTAACTGGGGCACCATAGTCCTCATGTCGCTTGAATATTTCCCTGACATTAAGGTGGAGAGTTGGTCCCACTGTTCTTCCTACACTATGCCCATTTCTCTCAATCCTATTACTTGCTCATCCCTCTAGATTCCAGGATCTCAAATTTGGTCCTCTTAATGGTACAAACACAACACACAGGAACACCTAACCCAGCAACTGGGGTGTGCTGGGTACCTAATAAATGCATGCTAGCTGCAGTCATCATGATTATCATCAACAGTGTCAGTGTGATCTGGGCTCCCTGCTCAGCAGGGTCCTGTCCCTTAGCTTCTTTCTGCAGACTTTGCCCTTCCCCCCTGAGTTGGGGTAACTAGAAGCATTATCAAGAGCTGCCTCCTGTTTTCCTCCACTAGTAGAGAGGGACTCAAACAGATGTCCTTTGGCAGACCTTGGGCTCAGGTTGTCCTCACCCGCCCCCTGCCTTTGGTGTGCGCAGGCTCTCAAACACTTACATATGCACACATACGCATACACACAGCTGAGTGTGTCTTCAAGGCTCAGCCTTCTGATCCCTGCCCTGCCAGGTGCATCTGAAGGAAGGAGAAGAGACCTCCAAACAACATTCTAGAGGACTGATGTCTTCTGATCAGCTTGACTGTGATTTGGGCCCACCCCTGGCTGAGCCTGAACCTGTCCTTCATGAGAGAGCATCTGGTTTCTAGTAATAATCTAATTTCTTGTTCCAAGCAAACGTGCCCCTGGGCATTTTAGAAGATCCAAAGAGGAGCTTCATGAAGGGCTGACAAAATTTTCAAATTTAACAGCCAGTGCTAGGATTTAATTCAATCACACAAATGATTACTATGCCCCCGCCTCTTAGGACACACAAAGAAAGTGTCCAGAAACTCTCCATAATACACCATTTTCAGCACCAACAGTAAGTTAAATGTTTGGGGCTGTGTCTCTGTTCACAACCCATTCCCTGACTCTTCCTGTGAGATGCCTGCTGACCACCGTACACAGAGGGAAGCAGGGAGCATGCCATGGGCCAAAGAGGAGCTGACAACCTGACTGGAAGGCTAGACCCAAACCTATAGAGGGTTCCCAATATGTGTATTAAACCCAAAGACCAGAAGAGAGAGCAATCACACACCAGTGGAGCAGAACAGACAAGAAATGTTACAAGAACTCAGAAAAGAGAGAATTCTGTCTGCCATCTATCCAGAAATGCCTAAGTATCTGGTACATGTATGACAGTTAATTCCACTAATATATGAAGAGCTTTTACAAATCAGTAAGAAAAGTGCAAACAAACTGAAATAGAGAAGAGGGAAAAGAACATGAGCAGGGAGTTCACAGAAAAATATGAAAGGTTTTAAATCTATGAAAGATGTTTCTAGCAAAAGAAATACAAATTAGAACCACAATGAGATATACCATTCTGTCTAGTTCTGGTTATGTTTGAAATTTTCCATAATAAAAAGTTTTACATTTTTTTTATGAATTAGAGGAAAAGAATTAGCTTTAAGAGACATATAATCAGTTGCCTTACTTGGGTCTTGACTCAAATAAACAAACAGCAAGGGGGAAAAAAGTATAAGATGATTAGGAAAATTTGAACACTGACTTAGGCAATATTAAATTGATATTTACTCTTTAGGTATGATAATAGTATTGTGATGATGTTTTTCTAAAACAGTCCTTTCTTTTAGATATAAATTCTGCAATGTTTATGGAGGAAATGATCCAATGTCTCAGATTTGCTTCAAAATAACCTGGAGAAAGGGAAGTAGGAAGGGAATGGATGAAACAACTTTGGTCTCCAGTTATGGGCTTACAGGGTTCATTATACTCATCCTTATATTATACCCTCCTGCAACCAGACTCATCATGATGAGCATTTAATAATATATATAGTCAAATCACATCTGGAACCAATATAGTATTTTATATCAACTAAATTTCGATTTAAAAAATTGAAAAACAAAACAGAGATGGTGGTCAATATACTAATGTGCTTATAGATTAACAGATCTATCTGGAAGGTTTCACAGGCAACTGACACCCATGTTTGCTTGGGTAGGAGGGTTGTCTTGGGGACTGGGGGATGAAGTAGGAGGGATGAATATGCTCTTTATATCACATGAACAATTTTACCATGTGCATATATTAGATTAATTTTCTTTTTTAAAGGTGAGGTTGATTATCAGTGGCAAGAGCAGGTCACATCTCCCCTGCATGCCAGGCTTACAGTCGGGGTGCAGAAGGAAGGGGGCATGCTCTGGAAGGAGCTGCAGGGTAGGGAGGGGCAGGGTTCAGCAAGCTGAGCTGGCCTGGCTGGGGTGGGGAAGGAAGACAAACTGTGGCAGCCTGGCCCCTGAAAGCCTCAGCAGCTGACAGTCAAGCGCAGACTCCTGTAGCCCCGAGCTTATCTCTTGCCAGAAGCTGGTGGGCAACTGCAGGGGTCCAAAATGGTGGCTCCAGGCTGTCTGAGTGTTGCTGAGTGGCTGACCCTTAGCTGTTCCGAAACAGTGTGGCCTCCATACACCTCACACATATACACAAACACTCCCACCCCAGCCAAACTTCCACTAGCCAGCAGGTTTGATTATGCAACCCTTGGGGACAGCGGCTCCCAAAAATGTCACACTCCACCCCCAGGCTCCAGCTCCACCCTGGACCTGTGTCCCCCATGGGTCACTGTCAACACTCATCTCTCCACAGGCAGCTGCATGCTCCACCCACTCCAGGACACAGCACAAGGTTGGGGACAAGAAGGGAGGGGGGTTGGGTTTCTGAATAGGGGCTCCGCAGAGGTAAACTGATCACTCCATCTCTCACCCCAGGGCAGAGGAACAGAAAGGAGCAAGGAGATGTCACTGGGATGTCCAAAAAGCTTCATGGTCCCCCCTCTCTAACAGCTCACTTGTCAGTGGCTTCTGCGTGCCCTGGAGCCACCCAAGCCCCACAGCCCTCCCCAGGGCACTGCCCCTTCCTTTCCCTGGGAAAATCAGTCAGTCAGTGTCCTGTCTGGAAATACACCTATGACCTTTAAGATTCTGTCTCTCCATTTCCCCACCAACAGGTCATGCAAGGGGCACAATGTGGGTACAATAGTCCCCAGCTTTCCTAAACCTTGCCACCTGGCCTGTTTCCCCACTGGGCCCCCCGGGCCTCCCTTCCAGCCCAAAGGGCAGGGAAGCAGGAACCAACCTCCACAGTGCTGTCAGCCAGGTTTCCTTTTCTCCAGGGAACAATCCCTTGCATGATGAAATCCACTACCTTTGAGTTCTGGAACACGGCCCCCACCAAAGCTATGGCCTTGTCCACAGCCACCACCATCCTGGAAAGGGCTTCGAGTCTGGCACCATGCTGGGCAGCATCCTGCCGCACAGCCCTCACCAGCTCCAGGACCTCCAGCCACCCAGCCTGTGTGGCAGCTGGTGGAGTATGATTAGCCCCAGCCAGGCCCAGGACCCGGGAGGCCTCCAGCCGGTGCAGGCCTTGCTCCAGGTGGCCCATGCCTTGGTACACAGACTGCAGTTTCTCTGTGACGTCTTCTTGGAAATGCAAGAGTTTGTCAACCTTCTCATTTAGCACATTAAGCTTTTTGTCCATGGTGGTTAAACAGGCCTTGCTTGACACTAGTGGTACCTGGGCTTCCAAACCCTCCTTAAGTGCTCCTGACATCCCGATGCAGCCTTGACAAGGTGGAGGAACTGGGAGAGCTGCAGACCCCTGGTTTTCACTTAGGCGGCAGGGTCTGGATGTTCATTGTTCTTGGTAGCTAGAGCCTCACCTCACAGTGCCAACCCTCACGGATCGCCTGGGTTGTTCGGGGAGCCCAGAGGACCAGGCTCTCTGAGCCTTTGCTTATCTCCCACTCTGCTGTGGGCCATGAGTGACAGGCTGGGTTTGGCCCAGGCCCTTCTCTGTGGGGCCCTTTTGACATCATGGCAGCATTCCTCTCTGAGAGGGTGCTGATGGGCAAATATTTTAAGAATCTGCCACAGGCAGGCAGTAGTTCATGTAGCTGAAACTAAAGGTTAGATGAAAAGGGATCCTTTAGGTAAGGTACCTGACAGCTGGACTCCACAAGGGGCTCCAGGAACCCCAGGGCAGAGTAAACACCCAAAGCACAGAGGAGTGGACAGTGTCCTACTTGCTATACACACATCTAATTCACAATAAAAGCAAGACCAAAAATAAATGTGAGGTCACTCTGATTTTTGCCATGATGAAATGTTGATGCTTCTGTAAATTAAAAAGAAATTTTCAGTGTCCCTGCTTTGCAGATGCCCCAAACATGTGTTTAGGTTGCCCATGGGATGACCCTGCAGGTCCCTCCCAACACAGGGCTTCAGTCACCAGTCACTTGTGCTAAAAATAGAAGTGAGGGACAATGGCCTAGGCTGCTCACCAAGTGCCATCCCGCAGATCATGTTCCCCACAGAGTCCTCAGGGCACACTTGCCAGCAGCCCTCTGCTCTGCCAGAGTGGACTACACGGGTATCGGGCACTAAATCCCTAAACTGAAACAGATGCAGTAGGGCCCTAGAGAGCAAGAGGCCTGTTTCCCATGGTTTCTGAACACGTTAGCCTCAAAAACCTTTGAGTAGAACTTGTACAGAAGCATCAATAAAGCAAAAGGAGAGGCTCTGGCTGATACTGAGTTGGGGCGTGAGGTGGCACCACAGAGCCTGAGGCCACCAGGGAGCCCCTGACTGACTCCATTTTCTCCCAGGCCCTCATAGGGAGACGGCAAGGCTAGAGAGGGAATTTGTCCAAGGCTGGCCCAGCACATGGTCTCCTGAGGGTTGTTCAGCCATAGTCAGTGCTGGCACCAGAGAGGGGCACTTTGGTGTCACCTTAAGCTCCCCGCTTCTGAATAAAAACAATCATAAGAATAAACTTTGACCTGGAAATCTCACATCTAATAGCACCTTTAGATCATTGTGCTATTTTGAGCACCCATAAAACCTGTGCTTGCTATGCAAGTGCCACTTGACCACAAACCTCTTTGATACCCATCTCTCTATCAATTGGGAAAGCTGCCCTAAGAAGCTCATGTAGAAATCCAGACCCATTTCTGGAAGCACAATCCTAGGGGTCATTGGCAGAATGGCCTGAAACATGCTGAAAAGAGCACTGGTCTCTTATAGTCACTGTGATCTAAAACATAGCCACAAATAAACTCTCCTTTGAAAAAGAAATTTGGAGAACACTGTGTTCAGCCTCTCTTGGGGATTCACTATGTAACTCAACAAAACCTAATCTGCCACAGAAAGAAACCAGCATCTGCCCAGGGGATCACTTTCTGCCCCACACTTCCCACTTAAAACTTCCTTGTGGAATTAGGGTTCCTTGGATCAAACTTTGGGAAGTGGCTGCCTTGAGAAATTTCCTGAAGTTTCAGAGCCAGCCCAACTTCTGTCCTACAGTAGGTACCAATAGCCGCTGTGGAATGAAGTCCCCACCAGTGTGAAGAGACAGACCCAATATTTGGGAGAGAGTTCCTACCAATACACACCACAGGCCAACCACTGATATAGGGATCAGAGCAACCTGCATGCAGGTAAGCTCTGGGTTAATAAAGCCTGGAAAGATATCTTCAAAGTCCAGATGAATCCAAAGGAAACAAACAAATGTCCCAGATACATATCATGTCAAAAGCTAATATGTATTTGCCCTGGGTCTCTTTAAGCAACAAGTGATTACAAGATTTACTAGACATACTAGAAATGAGGCTGCTACATCATCCACTGTTCCAGAACAACCTTGAAGCTCCTTGAGGCCAGAACAACACCTCTCAGGCTTGCCTCCATCCCCAGGCGCACCAATATCCCTGGCATGTGGTGGGCATTCACTGTATGGAAGGAATGAACTAATGAGGCTCCAGCAAGACGCAGGAGGTGGGGCTGACTGTTGAGAGACTAGTGGAAAGAGGAGGCAGAAGCTGGGGTTTCTCAGAATAATCAAATGAGTACAAGGCAGGAAATCCTGACAATTCGAAGAAGTAAGCTCTCAGATCCTTTGGAAGAAAGCTCAGAATATACCAAAGAGAAAAATTTTTGAATCTTTGATGAAAAGGAGCAAAACCAGGAGAATCATCTTTGAATCCCTTTTATTTCTCCACCTACAGGAAAAACGAGTTTATGAGCATAGGGGTTCTTGAGGGCTGTTTCGTGGCTTCCCAACTCTCCCTGCACAGCAGGAGCCACTGGCAATTCTTTTTGGGCAACAGCACCTGCTCAGAGGATGGGGGAGGCATTCCACTCTCCAAGTCGAGAGAACACAGACCAGAGAAAAGGCAGGTGAGCTAGATGGCCATAGACTCCTCATCTTCCCTGGATAAGGGCAGGACAGCTGATCTAGTCCCAGAAAAAACAAGCTGACTTCTGTTTACCACAGGCTGGGGTCAGCATGCACTGAACCCCAAGACTCTACCTTGGTCTTCCTGGTGACAGCCCACTTTCCCTGAAGAACCCCAGAGGCTTGAGACCTTAGGTGGAGTAAGAGGAGAGCAGAAATGCAAGGCTGAAGAGTCTATTCCAAAGCACTAGTAGTTCTCCTCCTCACCCACCTCTGCACAGGATGGGCAGTGCTGGGGAGCCCCCACCTGGAGATCAGGGGTCTGCTTCTGGAGAAAGTCAATGGTCCATGAAACAATAGTTCTACTTACTGGCTTTGGGGGTCCCTTGATAGCTACCCTTCTGATTGTCCTCAACAAAGCCAAGCAGTTAACAAGCCTCAACCCCCCAGTGTTTTTTACCTTATTCTGAAATATGCACACATAAAAAAGGATCACCAGATATTCAAAGGAAACCCCCAAAATGAAAAGAGGAGCCCCAAATAAACAGAAACATAGTTGTAGAGAAAAGAGAGTAACCAAGAAATAGAAAGTTTCAAAAAGGCTCTCAGTAGCCACAGAATAATATGAAAGCCTATTCTATCATTAAAACAGAAGACGGTGTTACGGAAAAGCAGCAGCACAGAATAAAGAGAGGTCTTGGAAATTTAAAATATGAAGATTAAAATTTAAAAATCCAATAGAGGGATTAGAAAATGAAATTAAGATAAATCTCAGAAAATAAAACTAAAAGATAAAGACATGTTCATTATGAGATAAAAGACAAGAGAGTTAGGCAGTGGACCTACCTGGTCTCACATCTAATTAACTAGTTTCAGGAGGAAAAAAAATGAAAAAAAATGGGAAGGGATTTATCAAAGAAATACAATCATGCAATTTTAGAATACAGGGATTAAAAGAAAATTATAAAAATCTCCCCAAATTAAAAAAAAAAAAGTCACATACCAGAAAACTGCCATCAGAATGACCCTAAAAACAACTGGATGTTAGACAGGTTGAATGTGACATTCTAGATTAAAAAGGATTTCCCCTTAGAATTTTGAAGACATTGCACCACTGTCAGAGGGCAGAATGAAGAATTTTAAGATTTGCAAAGATGTAAAAAAAACTTATGCAAGTTTTCTAAGGAAGCTGCTTTGAGGATATACTCCAGCAAAATGAGAGACTAAACAAACAAAAAATAGAGCTCCAGGAAACAACAATTTCAACATAAACCTAGAGTTGGAGCAGGAAGATAGAGAGCCCCAAAAAGGGATGACTTCAGGAGGAGGAAATATTATATATTAAAGACATGTAGTAAAATGTTAAGAGCATGGGCCTGGCGTCAGATTGTCTGGATTTAACTTTTGTCTCTGCCAATTATTAGGCAGAATCATGGGCCAGTTTACTTAACCTCTCTGTGTCTGCACTTTCTGGGCTGTAACATGAGAATAACAATGCCTACACTTGATGGAGTTGTCAGGAGGGTAAGTGAGAAGTTTGTAAGGCAATTAGATCAGTGCTTGGCACACAGTAAGTGCTCAAATGTTAGCCATCAGCATGATGCTGGCAGACAGGGTCAAGTGGAACAAAAGGGTTAGGGACGCCAAGAAAATCAGAGTTCTTACAAGAAAGAATGAAATTGAAGCACGTGAATTATTTTTTTCAGGGAATAATATTTACATTAGTCATACTATTATGCCTTAATAAGGTATAAGAACACTTTATTATGTTGAAACAGTGACATATTTCTTTGGAGGTGGGACTGGAAAGTCAGGGGAGAGTGAGAGTTAAATCCTCACTTCTCCTACGAGGAGGTCCAACATAATGTAGAAAATTGGCAAGCAGGAAATGAGGCAAACACCTGGAGAAACAGCTAAAAAACTCCAGTGTATTTGCTGCTGGGGAGAAGGATGGGAAGCAGGTTGGGAAGCAGGTTTTGCAGGGCACATCTGAGAGAGAACAATGTGTCATTCACCTTGTAGATTTGTATATTTATAACAAGTGTCACAGCACATGGCAGTGGAGGCTATTGTTCTAACAAAATCAAATAGCATAACAACATCCTGAGAGAGGGAGGCCATGCATCCTGAGGAGAGGTGTATTCTTCTATGGCACACAAAAGTGCCTTCTGAGACAGCTGCATACCTGGAACTTACTTAACCTCTTTGAATGCAGCTTTCCTCATCTGTAAAGAGGGCTCATAACAGCGCAGTAACCACAGGGCTGTTTGAATATTCATGAAGTAAAACATTTAGCATAGTGTGGGACACATGGTAAGTACATGAAACCAGTAGAGATTAGAACTCACCACCCCTGCCCCCATTCCCATCACACCCCAGAGGGTCAGCCAACAGAACGGCAGCATGGTCAGTCACCTCACTGTGTGGTGGGGCCAGGGGGAAGGGGAGTGTCTCCCCAACCCTAAATCAGCTCCCCCAGGCACCTGGTCCAGCCCAGCCACTTCCCCTGCACCGTTAGCTGATGGGCACTCAGCAGTGCAGATGTGTCCTTCATTAAGCTGAGCTAACTCAGGGAAGGAAACCAGAGATGAACT